AAGAGGCCCAACATAGTATAAGGCCAAACGCGTCGACTACTCCGTACATTTTAATGGTCCTTCGAGCCGGATATTTGGTTAAAAATCAGTGAAGTGGAATTAATCAGTCTAACTCAAAGAAAAAACTTCAAATTAATAATAAAGTGAATTACCACAGTAAAAATAAAGACAATTATATCGCAGCGTATACAGTCGACAGTAGTACATTCGGACTAAAACACCCTAGTGAACTCTTATTTTCATAATTATTTATATATCGCGAGTGCGCGTCCTGAAGACCATCAGTTGTCCACGACGTCCAACTACGCGACGAGCAAGCCATAATCCACAGTCCACAAGGAGCTGAGATAGCTACTACGCATCCACCTACCGAGGAGAGACGTCGATTACAATAAGGTAAGCTCATAAACTTGAATCGTCAACTCCTTTTTCTCCTATTCTATTCCCTTATCAATCGATCTCGATCAAAATGGCTCCGACAACAGAAGAGGAAAGAGAGCGACGAACCACTCTCACTCGTGAATGAGCTCAAATCAAGAGCAGAATCACCAAATTGAAAAATCACCTGGAAAAATCGGGGAGTTACGCAGATCCCCAATATGTTGATCGAAATCTTTCCAAAATTAAACAAGACCTTGAGACGTTACCGAAGATCCAAGCTGCCCTAACGGCACTTGAGCCTGGAATCGATCATACAGAAGCCACGGAAACCATCACAGATGACTTTGAAGACCTAATGGTAATGATTCGGCGATTTAAAGATCCAAATCGCGATCGCAACGCTCAAACAAGTCAACAAAGAGAAACTCGATCACCTTCTGTTACATCACATTTAGCCAATCACGATTATTACTTGTCATTACCAAAGTTGGAAGTGAAGAGATTCGATGGGAAATTGGAAAATTGGAGACCCTGGAGAGATTGGTTCATACCAACGATTCACAATCGCGACACGTTGACAGATGCACAACGTCTCGATTTTATGAAACGCACAACTTCGGGAGAAGCTGCAAATACAATTAGTGCTTTTGCGATAACTGATGAGAATTATAAAGCAGCCTGGAAGCTACTCGAGTCAACGTATGACATCGAGCACGTTCTTGTTCTTCACCATTATGATCTTCTGATGGAAACACCTGTAATGAAGAAAAATTCAGCGGAGGAAATCAGAAAACTAGTTAATCACGTTCAAACACAGGTCCTAGCCATGAAGGGACTTGGAGAAAAGGTCGAGCATTGGGATACTCCATTGGTCCACACTCTTCTCAACCGATTGGATAAGGAGACTGCCAAGGAATGGAACAGAACTCAACAAGGCAATAAAATGCCTACATATGAAGAATTCATGAACTTCTTGAGAAAAGAAGCCGTGAAGGTCACACCTATGACTCCAACAGGAACAATCCCGAGCACCTCATCAAATTCCAATTCACAAAAACAAAAGAATGGAAATTATAAGGCTCACGGTCAAAAGGCACACTCTCTCTTAACCTCAACGACCGACAAATTCTATCCCTTGTGTAAAGAACAACATATGCTAGAGAATTGTGGAAAATTCATCACACTGAAGGTTCCTGAACGGATTCAAGCAGCCCGTAGCCCCTATTTATGCCTCAACTGCTTGAGACCCAATCATAAAACTCGGTACTGCAAATGCTCGACGTGTTCTACCTGCCAGAAGAAACACAATGCTCTTCTGCACCTCGCCGAGGCAGACCTGGGTGCCATAAAGTCGCTGTCGGCATGACTAGAGCCGACCGCAGTCTCGGAGCCCAACGCAGCAACTACTCTGGTGGCCACTATTCCCTCCAAGGATTTAATTGTTACTGCATCAATTTTTATTCTCAATCATGCTATTGAACCCATACGATGCCGAGCAGTTTTGGACACTGGATCGACTTCTAATTTCATCACAGAGAAATTCGCAAGACAACTGAATTTACCCTTGGAAAATCTGCAGATTCCTATCATGGCTGTTGCTGATCCTAATCTTACTACAAATCATCTGATGAAAGCAACAATAAGGTCAAGAGTTAATGAATACTCTAGGGATCTCAACTTCCTGACAGTTTCTAGTCTAGGCGGAATACTTCCCAGTGAACCGATCGATCGAAATAGTCTGAAAATTCCCAGGCACCTCGCACTAGCCGATCCGAGGTTCGATCATCCAGCACCCTTCGACATTCTATTGAGCTTAGGCACAACCCTTGCATTGTTATGCCAAGGGCAAATTCGATTGAATAATACACATGGCACAGATGTTTTGTTACAAGAAACTCAATTAGGATGGATAATCGGTGGCAGTGTGTCCACAAGAAATCCACCCTCAAAGAAACAAATAACAAACAATCATCTCACTTGTGTTGAACAACAATTGAAAAATTTCTGGGAAATGGACGATGTTAATACGGAAAAACATCTCTCTAGCGAAGAAGTAGCCTGTGAAGAACACTTCAAAAAACATGTCACTCGCGACGAAATGGGTAGGTACATCGTAGCCTTACCCTTCAACAGTAATAAATCGAAACTCGGTGAGGCTCGAGAGATGGCAAAAAAAAGTTTCCATTCACTACAGAGAAAATTCAGAAGGAACCCAGAGTTAGAGAAACAATATTCAGCCGTAATGCAAGAATATCTTGACCTGGGTCATACGTCTGAATCTCGAGAAGACCCTTCGGAAGAGAAGGGCTTCTACCTGCCTCACCACTCGGTCATAAAAGCCACGAGCCTCACCACCAAGGTGCGGGTCGTTTTCGATGGCTCGGCAAAAAGAGCAGGGGACCCAGTGTCATTAAACGAATCCTTAATGATCGGGCCAACCATTCAACAGGATATTTTTTCACTGCTGACTCGCTTTCTCACTCACCAATATGTGCTTACAGGTGACATTGAAAAAATGTACCACCAGTTTTGGGTTCGTGACGAGGACAGGAAGTATCAACGAGTGTGGTGGAAGGACTCGAATGGCGAACCCAGGGTTTTCGAATTAAACACCGTGACATTTGGATTGTCCTCAGCTCCTTATCTCGCTATTCGCTGCTTACATCAGTTAGCAGATGATGAGTCCGGGAAATTTCCTGAAGCCGCCAAAATAATTAAGCGCGACTTATACGTGGATGATCTTCTGACAGGGGCAGATACACTTGAGGAAGCTCTAAACATAAGAGACGGAATCAACAGCGTATTAACAAAGGGGCAACTCAACTTGCGTCAGTGGGGATCAAATGATCCACGTCTTCTAAAGGGACTCCCAGAAGGTAACGTCAATCTCCAGTTGAAAACCTCCAACGATCCCACCATCAAGACATTGGGATTACACTGGAACTCCGAGAAAGATGCGATCATTTTTACCGTACAGCCAATACAACCTCGATCCAAGGTGACGAAGCGGACGATGCTTTCTGACGTATCAAAAATATTTGATCCACTAGGATTTCTGGGGCCAGTGATCATCAAGGGGAGGATGATTCTCCATCGCCTTTGGGAAGAAAAGATCGGTTGGGATGACACTATTCCTCTCAGCATCCTCACAGAGTGGAAGACGTATTCCACCCAACTGACAAAATTAAATAATATTTCATTCAACCGACGGGTCATTATACCTGAGGCACGTGAAATACAGCTCCACGGGTTCTGTGATGCTAGCACGAAAGGTTATGGGGCATGCATCTACCTGCGATCCACCGACGTCAATGGGGAGACACAAGTTCGGCTACTGTGCTCCAAGTATCGTGTTGCACCCATCAAGCCAGTCACACTACCACGACTGGAGCTTTGCTCGGCACTTTTGTTGTCTGACTTATACACAGCAACCAAACAATCCATCAACCGCCATATTGATAAGATTATATTTTGGTCAGATTCAATGATTGCTCTACACTGGATTAAATCATCCCCCAGCAAATCAACAGTTTTCGTGGCGAATTGCATAGCCGGAATTCAACAAAAGACTGAAGGAGCAGAGTGGCGGTATGTACGCTCACAAGACAATCCCGCCGATCACATTTCGCGAGGCTTATTCCCCAACGAATTCATGCAAGAATCCAATTGGAAAACTGGGCCAACATGGTTAGCAGAAAACGAGAACGAGTGGCCGAGGAGTGAATTAATCGTTCCAGCCGTAGTTCCCGAACTGAAGAAGGTCCAATGCTTCCTGACTGATCCAGGAGCTCCCGCACAACCTCAGCGGGATCCCAAGGATCTGCCCTACATTTTACGTTTCTCATCACTCACGTTTCTGAGGAGACTGTTCGCATACGGCCTACGATTGAAACCAGGTAACAACTTCAAGGGACCTCGATCAGCAGAAGAATTAAATTTAGCTAATGAAAGAATCATAAAAATCGTTCAAGAGTCTACATTTGCTGAAGAAATAAAGGAACTCAAGAAAGAAAATCGTTCACGTCCCAAAATTAAATACATGGCGCTCAGTCTCCTTCTGGATAAAAAGGGTTTGTTACGCGTCGGTGGACGTCTTGAGAATTCGGATATTCCCTTCGATCAAAAACATCCTCTTTTAATTCCAAAGGAACACCACATCACCACACTCTTGATACGAGAGGCACACATTACCAACCACCACGCTGGTGCTCAAACAACTCTATATGCACTAAGGAGAAAATATTGGTTAGTTGGTGGACGTGCACAAGTGCGCAAAATAATTAAAGAATGCATTCCATGCACAAAGGCTGATCCCCCGCAGAGCGAGTATATCATGGGTAACCGTCCAAGGACTCGCATCACGGAAGCCCGGCCATTCTACAATGTAGGGGTGGACTATTGTGGCCCCTTCTATTTGAAAGAAAAGAAGCATCGAAATAGGAACAAAATCAAGGTTTGGGTAGCGGTTTTCGTTTGTATGGTGGTACAAGCGGTCCACATTGAGATAGTGACGGATCTCACAACGGAAGAATTTATTGCTGCACTAAAACGATTCATCGGTCGGCGAGGAAAACCCAGAAACATCTACTCAGACAACGGCACAAATTTTGTAGGCGCCAATAATGAGATTAAGGAGTTGTATGCACTGGCACGAGCGACAGATCACAATGAGAGAATTCACAAGCATCTTGCAGACCAAGGCATCACGTGGCACTTCATTCCGCCACTTTCTCCACACCAAGGAGGCCTGTGGGAGGCAGGAGTCAAGTCATTTAAACACCATCTTAAGAGGATTTGTGATGATTTAATCACTCTGACAGAATTCAACACGTTAGTGATCGAGATCGAAGCCACATTGAATTCCCGCCCCTTAACTCCTATTTCCACAGATCCCAATGATATTCTTGTACTTTCCCCTGGTCATTTCCTCATTGGCGATTCCCTCATGAGCTTACCTGAACCCGACCTCAGGTGCACTCCAGACAATAGATTATCTTGTTGGGAAGCAATACAGAACAAACAACAAGAATTCTGGGCCAGGTGGCACAACGAATACCTGAATGAGCAGAACCAGAGGAATAAATGGACCAAGGGGAGCCACAACATGAAGGAAGACGCGATTGTTATTCTTCGAGATGACAATTTGCCACCCAGACAATGGTCTCTGGGTCGTGTGATCAAGACGTATCCAGGGAATGATGGAATTATTCGTTCAGTTCGAGTTAAAACTGCGAAGGGGGAGTTTGACAGAAATATCCGCAAACTTTCTCCATTATTAAGTGATACTGCTTCTAATAACGAGTAAAAAGTGATTTTAAAAACATTCATAAAGACTCTAAGTGAGAATATTATATGAACAATTGATACTTATGCTATTATATTATGTCATAGAAATTTATTTAGTGCATTATAGCTCCATATATCACGTCAAATTCTATATAATTAATATTCACACATTCTATTAGAGATATTTAGAAATTATTTACCATTAACTTTCATTTTTTGTTTTTGATTGCTTAATTATAAACTCTCAAAAAGGGGAGCGTGTTCAGTCTCAAACATAAACCATAGAGTTAAGCCAGAAAAATTCGATGGAAAAATACAACACGTTCTCTTTAAATCTTTCAACTCAAGTAGTCATAAATAATTATAAATTTTACCC